CCCTGCTGTTTCTACTGGCAGACCTAACTTGTTTCATCTGCCTTCTTAGTTGAAAAATGGGGGCTGGGGGGGGGGCGCCATCAGAAAGAGAAAGCCTACATGTCCTTCAGTGGAACTTTCACTTGTTTCTTTAACAATACGTACCTTGCTGCAGTTTCAAATATGAATTTTGAAAAACATGTCGGAAGTTACAGTGATTAATAATGGCAATGGTATTATTATTTGAGAAGATGTTGCCTGCCAAGATGAAAATAGTCTTAAAAGCCGGTTAACAGGCAAGATAAGAATGTCAGACTCTGGTTTATAAGACATACGCTTCATTTTCAAATGAGAATTGTTTAATTCAGGTTGATTACCGCCTGATTGGCCCCATGACTTCCAAAAATTTCCAATGATTAGATCTGGAATATGTGGCACTGATTATTGCATGTTATTGTCATTCAAATAGCCTCAATGTGAGTGTTCTTATTTTCTAAAGTAAGGACTCAGTTTCTACGTACTAACTTTTTAGACCATCTCATCTGTTTACATAAGAACACACATCCTCATGCATGTCTATTCATCATGCCTCTTATACACACTTATGCTGACTAAAAGCGACAGTCCTAATGAGAACTGGCAGTGAATGGTGACATTAGTTAAAATTTATGAAATGCTTTAAAATAAAGTATGAGTGCAATTTTTATTTGAAAATTACATTGCTTTAAAAATATATTGCCTTTAATGAGAACTGGAGAATTGAAAGGTGTATGACAACTGTCAAAAAAGCTTATAAATGTAATATAAAAGTGAAGCAGAAATCAGTCAATTTGAGAACCAACACATAATGATTAAGATAATAAATATAAACTGCTGTTACTCCCTTATTAAAAAGAAAATATTCTTGATTGGTTTAAAACACAAACCTCATTATTACTTGGCATAGAAACAAAAGCTTAATATCAAGTCATGTTAACTACTAAGTACCAAAACAGTAAAAGAAAATATGGGAACAGACAAAGCAAGGAAATATAGTGAATTAGAGAGGTTAGAGGTTGCAATATATTAATGAGATTGATAATGATTAGTTTGAATATATATGAGAACTACATGAAAAATGTGTTAAAGTTGAGAAAGAAGGTAACTATACATAGGAAACAAATAGAATCTATAACTAAATAATAAAAGGTATGGAACTAAAATTCAGATAATATGAAACATTAAAAAATTTAAATAATATATAGAAATGTGAACAGAAACATGATGTAATATAATGCTATTAGTCTATAAAATAATATAAAAATAAAGACAAGAAAAATGATAAATTTGATTTAAGAGAGAAATTAGTGGCTAAGATTCTGGGACACTATAATCTAGATTAAGAAATATACCTTCTTTCAAATATCTATTTACCATCCACAAAAGTCATCATATAGTAGACAATAAAAATAATTTCAGTAATTAATTCCGCCAGAGCAAAAGTATTATGTGTTCAGATCAAAACCCTCAAATTAATTTTTAAATAATTTTTAAACCAATCACATAGATATCTAATACTGATGAATTATAGTCAAGTCAGAGAGAAAACAAGAAATTTCATAAGCTCTGAAAAATTAAAGCACAATTCTAAAATCTTATAGAAGCAAAAGTACACCAAAGTAAATTCATAACTTTGTCAAACATATGAATTGAAAATAAATTGGCCTTACTTATTATAGTCAATAAAAGATTTCTAAATCACATTAACATAAATAATAAAAGAATTTATTGAATGTTCACTCTGAAAAAGGCACTGTGGTAAGTTAATAATTTATAGGAAATGTTTTTATCTTCTCAAAAACTCTACCAAGCTCATAAACAATGCCTTATTCTCTGCATCATGCCTTAGTTACTAAATAAAAATAGTAACTTTTATTTAGCACCTACTATGTACATGGGCAACAGATCATAGAAAGGATTTAAAGTAGCAGACTCATAATTCAACCCCAATTAATATTTTCCCAATTCCATGTGCTTTCCACTCTGACAGAATTCAAAATCATGTTAATAAATGAATTCATCATGATTAAGAGAGTGTCTTAGTATATTAGAGATGATTTGGTATTAGATAAATAAATTTATATAATGCATTATTTATCACACTAGCGCTTAAGTGATAGTTTCTTTTTTTTTATAATATTCCTTTTTTTTTTTTTTTAGATTTATTTATTTATTATACAAGCACTGGGTACAGTCAGAAGCGCGGGAGGCTGAGAGAATTCACCAGAGCCTGAGCAGGGAGCAGAACAGGCAGAAGGACCGAAGCACAATGCTGAGGGGAGCAGCGGGTGGCAGGAGAGGTCTGCGCGCCATGTGGGACCCTCCTCCGGTGGCCGGGGAGCAGCCGGGGATCGAACCGGTGCTGCAGAGGCTGCGGGCAGCTTTGCAACACAGCGCCCAACCGCTGCACTACTGGGGAGGCCCTAAGTGATAGTTTCTTAAGGATTAGTTGAAATGTGAATTCTAAAACCAAAACAATGAAATTTTTAAACTTAAATTTTAAATTCGATTACATTTAAAACCTTTCAATATATCTTGCTCTTTGAGTGGGTTTCTTTTACCCTTGCATGATTTTGTAATATATAATCACCATTTGGAAAATTGGTTCATTGAGATATTCAGATCTTACAAATATTTGTTGATATGTGATATATATATATATGTATTTGATATATATATATTTGTTGATATATATGTCCATATAATCCCGTAGTTCATTTCTAAAAATCACCACTGTTGGTATCATAAAAGTTTTTAATTTTGGGGAAGTTGTCAAGTTCACCATGGTATACTTTCCAGAATTCTAATTTTCCTATTGAAAGTTCAATTGTTATAATTCCCAACAAATATTTTCCTGGAAGTGACAGGTCCACTTCATAAATATCTTAAGAAAATGTTTGTCAAATGCCCAAGTCTGAATAACCATAACTTGTTTGTCATTCTTCAAGTAAAAATGAATTTGTGAAGGGTGGTTAGTTTAGCTCACAACTCAATTATAGAAGTGCTTTCCCTCAAAAAAGTCATCTTACTTCAGCATGCAGCAGTGTGCTCCTCACACAGAGTATTAAAAAGACCCTCACAAAGATTATTTAGGACATTTACTCTAAAGTCAAGCTTTGCCAAGATTACTACTCTTACTATTTCAAGAAGATTCTTTTTTAAGTGAAGTTTTAATTGAAGTTAATTTGGTTTATAATAGTTTATTGGTTTCATGTGCACAGCATAGTAAATCAGCATTTGTGTAATTCAACATTATGTTTGCCACCCAAAATCTGATTTTTTTCCTTCACTGTGGATCTGACCCGTTTTACCTGATTTACCTGCATTCCCTTCTCCCTGCCTTCTGGTAACCACTATTTTGTTCTTGTTGTCTAAGAGCTTGCTTTTGTTTTATTTTTTCATTTGTGTTGTTCCTGTATCTTCCACTTGCATAGAACACTCTGGTGTTTTTTCTTTCTCTGTTGGTGTGTTTCACTCAGCATAATAGTCTCGTGAACCATCCATGTTGTTGTGAATCTCATGGTTTCATCTTACAGTTGAGTAGTATTTCATTGTGTTTATACCCCACCTTTTCTTTATCCATGCATCGATGGGCATTTAGGTTGTTTCCATGTCTTGGCTATTGTGAATAATGCTACAGTGAACATGGCATTGAGGGCATTCTTATGTGAAACTGGCATCTTTCAAAATTCAAGTACATTACAGTGGAAAAATAGAATAGTTACTAGTATATATTGGTTTATGTACCTCCAGTGCAAGTTGGGGGAAAAGGCAAACACTATGTTGGTATCATTATAAAAGTACTTTTGACCTCGTGGGTCACTGAAAGTGTCTTGTGGACCTCCAAAGTCCCACTGACCACACTTTGAGAATCGCTAACTTAATGAATTTCTTTCTTTCTTTTTTAAAGATTTATTTTTATTTTTATGCATACAAGAGCTGGGGTACAGGCCAGAGAGGCGGGGTGGGGGAGGGTGAGAGGATTCACAAGAGACAGAGTGGGGAACAGAACAGGCAGACTGACGGAAATACACTGCTGAGGGGAGCAGTGGGCCAGGCAGGAGAGGTCTGCTTTGCCATGTGAGTAGCTCCCTGGCCGGGGATCAAACTTGTACTGCAGTGGCTATGGTTAGCTTCATAGTTGTGTCTTAACCCCTTGCGCCACCAGGGAGGCCCCTAATGAATTTCTTAATGACCTGCTCTGGCCAAGTCACTCTCCAACTTTAAATCCTAAATTAACTTTCCTGGCTTTTAAGGTAAAGTCCAACCTCTTTATAATAGTCTGTCTCTTGGCCTCTTTTCATGTCTCCAGTCTCACTACATGCTGTTCTCCACCCAGCAGTGCAGTCCGCTGCTCTAGTCTTCTTCATTATTGTAAATGTACCAGCTCTCTCCGGATAGTTTTCCTATGAAGTTTTTGTCACCCTGGGAAACTTTGCCCTTCACACAATACTTCAGAAACTCTTACTCATCCTTCAAGTTTCAGACTTCGTATTACCTCGATGGGGAAGACTGAAAGTAGTTTAAATGCCATTGCATCTTTTCCTTCTCTGTGTAGCTCAGACCCCAAATGCAAATACCTAATTACTGATAACAACTTCTCCAATGGCCATGTCCTTTGCTCTATTGTTAAGTTCAGGAAGGGCAGGGACTACACATCTCACTCTTAAGGCTCAATCCCCAAAGCCAATGAATGTATGAATGAATGAACTGGACCACACAGTAATATCTTCAGTTTGCAGAATTAAGCCTTGGAGGAAGAATTTATTTTTGAAAGAAAGACATCTTAAAAATAAATACAATGTGTAACAAGGTACCATTTTTATTAAAAAATATATAAACATAGTTTATGTAAAAATAGAGCATTAAATGCAAATAAAAATAACTGCAAATAAAAATTAACAAATATTTTATAACATGAGGTTCAGCCACAGTACACAAGTTACATTTCCTACAATTCTGTAGACAGTTGGACTGAACAATTAGGTGTCTGAATTAGGATATTAGTCACTGAGAATCAAGTTCCTTCTTTCAAACTGAGTTTTCTGATAGATAAGCTTGTTAGTGAGGAAAAAGCATCTCCTGATTTCCACTCTGACCACCACCCAGGCACAGTCACTGTATTTCTTCTCTTGAAGGTAGCGATGGATTCCCTGGAAGTAGTTCTTCACAGCTAGGATGAGGCCTTCAATGCCCAAGGCCGAGTCTTCCTCTCCCATCTCCTGCAACAAGCAGGTGTCCAGGGCTTGCAGCTACCAGTAGAGTCCATTGAGCAGCTGGTCCAGGAGGGTCGTATTCCAGGCAGCAAAGGAGTGCTCCGAGAAGAACAGGTGGACGGTCTGCCGGAGCATCTCCTGCAAGATGGACATGGCCTGGGCCTTCTGCAACAGGCTGCCATCTAGCTGCTCCTTGGGGAGTTGGAAATTGGCCCTGTTCTTCAGACAGAAAAGAGGAGAGATTGTCCCCATTTGCTCCACTCTGAAAATCTCCTGCTTATCCAAGTTAAGGGTCTTTGCTAAATCCAGGTCACAACTGATGGAGTAGATGGGACTGGAGATCATCACCAGCACCATGAGTGAAGAGACCAAAAAAGCCATTGGTAAGTTCCAAGAAGATGCTCTGTTGGTTGAGATGGGAGATTGTGAGTTTTGTAAAGATTCTCTAAAGAATCTGTGGGCTTATTGTCTAGCACCATATTTCATTTTCTGGATTTCCCTCAATCTTGCACTTTCCCATTTTGAGCTTTCATTTCTCTTCAGGAACTGAAAGTGTTTCTACTCTTTTTATTTTTTAATTTAAAAAAGATTTATTTATTTATGCATACAAGAATTGGGGTGCAGGCCAGAGGTTTGCGGGGGAAGAGAGGATTCACCAGAGACAGAGTGGGGAACAGAACAGGCAGACTGACTGAAATACACGGCTGAGGCAAACAGTGGGTGAGACAGGAGAGGTCTGCCGCACCATGTGGGTTAGTTCCCTGGTCAGTAGGGGATAGAACTCATTTGTGCTGCAGTGGTTGCACATAGCTGCACAGAGTGCTGTGCTTAACGCTTTGTGCCACCAGGGAGGCCCTGTTTCTACTCTTTCTGTGAAAATGATTTTTTTCTTAAAAAAATTATTAGGGGGCCTCCCCGGTGGCGCAGCGGTTGAGCGCTGGGTTGCAAAGCTGCCCGCGGCCTCTGCGGCGCCGGTTCGAAGCCTGGCTGCTCCCCGGCCACCTGAGGAGGGTCCCACATGGCGCGCAGACTCTCCTGCGGCCTGTTGCTCCCTCAGCAGTGTACTTCGGTCCTTCTGCCTGCTCTGCTCCCTGCTCTGGCTCTGGTGAATTCTCTCATCCTCCCGCGCTTCTGACTGTACCCAGTGCTTGTATAAATAAATAATTTTTTTTAAAAAGGTAGTAATGTTTAAAAAAAAAATTATTAATCCCAATTCAATGTAGAGTTTATCGGCTCAGTGAAAAACAACTTAGATCTAATAACAGAGCTGATAAGAAAACTTTACCAGGCTTCTTTTTAAAATCTTTCTCCCTTTCTAGATTACCCCCTTAGAAGTATTGAGCAGGTACTTGATCTTTTTTTGTTAAGATTTATTTATTTATTTATACAAGAACCAGGGTACAGTCCAGATGTGCAGGAGGGTGAGAGGATTCACCAGAGATAGAGCGGGGTACAGAACAGGCAGACTGACGAAATACACTGCTGAGGGGAGCAGAGGGCGAGACGGGAGAGGTCTTCCGTGCCATGTGGGACCCTCGCTGGCCGGCTGGAATCGAACCGGCGCTGCAGAGGCTGCAGACAGCTTCACAGAGCAGCGCTCAACTGCCTGCACCATCAGGGGAGGCCCAGGTACCTGATCTTTATATGCCTGGATATCACCTTATTCTTTGCTGTAAAACAATTAGTTTGTCAATTTTTTTTCTCTCCATTGAGAAAATTACTGCACATTTACTATGTGCTAATCATTATGCCGCTCTCTGGCTGCGCAGAGATGATTGCACCTACAGTCTTGCTCTCAAGAAGAGCCAAGCCAATGCTCACTGATGTCCAATGTATGTTGTCCAGACATTGACAAGTACATCATTCAGTCTTCACTATAACCTGAAAAAATACATGATTATCATTTCCACATAACAGAGGAGAAAACTGAGGTGTCCTGGTCACACATCTGTAAAGGTTGGAGCTGTGGCATAAGTCCAGGATGCCCGGCCCTGAGTCCATTGTCCCAGGTACTAGGCTGGTCTGTCTTCTCCAACGGTGTTCTTCCTGTGTTTCCAGTTTAGTCATTTCCACTTTTCTTTTCAAAAAGCACTACTACTGTTGCAGCAGTTACGATGTGTCTTAGCGGCTTCATAGCAGATTCCTTGTCCTAATCCAGACCACTGTGCTAGCTCTGTCAAAGGAATGGCAAAAGTAACCCATTTTTTTCCTTTGCTGTTTTTGCATAATTTTAAAATTATTACCTCTTCTTTAGTATTTGTGTTTTCACTTGATAAAGTTGTCCCAATGCTTCTTCAATCTTTTCTATTTCCACTTTGAGGTTTGTTGCGAAAAAAAAAAAAAAAAAAAGAAGTGAAAATGTACAGGAGAGTGTCTCCCTGGTGGCACAAGGGGTTAAGACGCAACCGATGAAGCTGTCCACAGCCTCTGCAGCACAAGTTCGATCCCTGGCCAGTCACAGAGCTACCCACATGGCACAGCAGACCTCTCCTGTCTTGCCTGCTGCTCCCCTCAGCAGTGTTATTTTGGTCAGTCTGCCTGATCTGTTCCCCACTCTGTCTCTGGTGAATCCTCTCACTTCCCACACCTCTAGCCTGCACCCCAGCTCTTGTATGCATAAATAAATAAATCTTTTTAAAAAAGAAAATATGTACAGGAGAAAAGGAAGTAATAGATTTCCTGTATGATTTTCAAGATATCAGAACTTTCCTCTCTTATTTAAGATTCCTACAAAGTCAAAGTTAGCTGTTATGAAAAAGTATGCAGAAAGGCAAATGGAAATACTGAAAAGGAAAAGGAAAAAGTAACATCTTCTCTATCCAAATGGCAAAAATGTCACTTACCTAACTACATATATCAGTGATGAAAAGCTCCGCAGAGTGACAGGTACCAGACTAGTCTGAGATTGTTGGTTCAACAGGTCCAGAAGAAAGTCAGCTGGCTCTTTAAAGCAGGCTGTTACCTAAGGAACTAGCTTTCAGCTCTGCAAAATCAGCGACTCTTGTTATTTATTTGTCTGTTACCTGTTTTTCACAATCCATGATGATGCTCCGACTCCAAGAATTTAGCCACACCAGTTCACATTCAAAAGGGATTGGATGGCCATCGTGTTAATGTGTGCACGATCAGCTGTTACCGGAAAGCTAAGAGAATTCAGTCATTTGGAGAGGGAATGCCCACCCATGTGAACACACACTCATATTCACATAAGAGATGAAGTTAGAAAAAAATGTTTATTAGTGAGTTGAAAATTAAAGAATGGAAAGCAGATTTCTTCATGACAATTCTCACCCAGTTTTTGTAGTTGGATCGGTTAGTTTGCTAACCAATTGTGGAAATAGCTCACTGGTGTCCAATGTATGTTGTCCAGACATTATGACAAGTACACCATTCAGTCTCCTCTACAACCCAAAAGAATACATATGATTATCATTTCCACATAAAAGAGAAAGCTGAGGTGTCCTGGTCACACATCTGTAAAGGTGGGCACTGTGGCATAAGTCCAGGATGCCCAGCTCTGAGTCCATTGTCCCGGGCACTAGGCTGGTCTGTCTTCCAGTGGTGTTCTTCCAGTGTTTCCAGTTTAGTCGTTTCCAATTTCCTTTTCAAAAAGCATTAATTATTCATGCAATGGACATTCCAATACTCTTGAAAAGGAAACAGGTCCCTTGTTAAGTTCCAACCTTTCAAATGATGTTGCTGTTACTCTCAATTGGATCTTTGCTCCCATATGAGATAAATTCAGAAATTATCCAGGAGGATAAAATACCAATTTAAATTTATTGGCTCTCCTTGGTGACTTAGGAATTAAATCTTAGTGTTATCACCCCTGCGGCCTGAGTTCAATTCCCAGCCAGGGAGTTAACCCACATATGGCACAGCAGACCTCTCCTGTCTCGCCCACTGCTCCCCTCAGCAGTTTATTTCAGTAGATCCACCTGTTCTGCTCCCAATTCTGTCTCTGGCGAATCCTCTCACCACCACCCCTACCCCCACACCTCTGGCCTACACCCCAGTTCTTCTATGCATAAATAAATAAATAAATAAATAAATAAATAAATAAATTTATTCTTGCTATCTTTGTTTTTAAAGACTATCATTTTCTCCAAGTTCTAGGTCTACTCACCGTTTGGAATGTGTAGGCTTTTTTGGTACTTGACAAGGGACAGAGCCCTCAGGGTACTCGGGTGCTTCCTCTGTGACAGACACCTTGCTGGATACTTAGGGTAGTGCCTGATATTCTCACAAAGCTTATAGTCTAGGAAGAGAGTCAGAAGTTAAACAAAGAATTAGATTGACTGCTTCATCACAAGTATATTAAGTGTAGCTAAAGAAGAATACTTCAGCCTAAAGGAGTTACATAGAGGTAGAATAGTATAGCGGTAAAGTACCACTTAAGTAAATCAATCATGGGTCTTATCAAGTTAAATAACCTCTCAGAGTTGTTGGGTTTCCTCATTTGCAAAATACAAATAATTATAGTAATTATCTCATAAGGAAGCTGTGAAGATTAAATGAAATAATGTTTATAAAACACTTTGCTCAGAGCCTGTATATAATTAAAGATTGCTGCCATTAATATTATTAAATATAATCAGTATATTACCCATTCAGTGAAGACATGTCATGATAGGCTTTGGGTACCACAGCAGCCCTATCCTCCAAACATCATTGATAGGCTATTGGTTGGCCATGGAGATCTATAGAAGTGAGGTTAGTGTATTATTGTTGAATGACCAAGGCAAAGTTTTAACTATGGAAGGTTCCACTTGGTAGAGAACAGAGACTCACACTCAGGCAAACTTGAATCTTCCAGGGAAAACCAGTATCTAGCAAAGTGCCTAGCAGACCATAAGTGCATCATAATTTCTTTTTAGGAGGTGATGTCTGTCATACTGTTCTACAAGCAAGATCTTCAGTGAGTTTAAGACCAACTCAGATGATATCTTTAAGGTATGTATACAGTTGATATATATATATATATATTCATTTTTGATTTGTGAAAGCATTTATTTACTTATTTTAATTAAATTTTCTTATTTATTTTTTATTAATTAATTAAAACATTTTTCTTATATTGTTGTAGTCTCCATAGTTCTCCCAATACCATCTTTTAATAAGGGGGAAAAAATAAGAAAAATCAAAATCTTCTCTTTTATATACAATTATGTATTTCTGCTGACCTAGGCAGTCTGCATGAATGTTTCTCCCTTCTGGGCTTTTCTCTCCAAAGCAGCCTAGGTGGTATGAAAAATATGTAGAATATTGTGTAGATATTGCAATGACCTTCATATTTTGTCCACCGCCACCTAGACACTCATGTCAAAAGAAGTACTGTTTTTCAAACTTTAAAACATTTTTATTGAAGTAACCTTTATAACATTTTATGGGCTTCAGGTGGGCAGCATTATATAGTTCACCATCTGTATATACCATGTTATGATCACTACCAAAGTTCAGTTTCCATTCACCACTATACAATTGACTTGCTTTACCTCATTTACCACCCCTATTTCCTTTTCCACTCTAGTAATTATCTTTTCATTCTCACAAGCTGAGTTTGTTTTGTAATGGATGCACATTTCATGTGGACACGGAACTCAAAAGTAGAAAGTAATCAGAAGGGTGACAGTGGAAAACCCCAGAAAATGAAAGTTTCTATATTCACTTTTAAAAGGCACTCACCACCCAAAGCCCCAGAACTTGCTGAGATTTCCCCTTCAGGCAGTCCTGCAGAATCCCCCAGCTTCCTAATGGTCTCCCCACTCTGTCTGCTGCTGGCTCTGGTGCTGCTGTACCACCGCCCTGCCAGCTCTCTGGACTGCGACCTGCCTCCAAGGCATGGCGGTCCAGAAACCTTCATACTTGTAAATCAGATGGGGAGACTCTCCCTACTGTCCTGTCTGGAGTTCAGGAAAGACTTCCAATTTCCTCAGACGCTGGTGGACGGTAGCCGGCTTGAGAAGACGCAAGCCCGGGTGGTGGTGCAGGAGATGCTCCAGGAGGTCTTCAGCCTTTTCAGCACGAATGACTCTTTTGAAGCTTGGGAGGAGACCGTCCTGGACAAATTCCTCATTGAACTTTATCAGCAGCTGGAGGACCTGGAGAAATGTTTGGAGAAGGAATGGAAGGTGGGACTGTCAGCCCTGGGAAGCGAGGACACCACATTGGCGGTGAAGCGCTACTTCCAGGGAATCCGTCTGTATCTGAAAGAGAAAGAATACAGCAGCTGTGCCTGGGAGATCGTCAGGGTGGAAATCAGAAGGTGCTTGTTCTCCATTAACAAGCTGATAAGAAAACCCAGGAAATAAAGACATTGGGTGTCAAAAGAGTTCACCTGGTCCACGGCATTGGTATTTTCTAAGATTCAGAGTGCAATCTTCATGTCTGTCTTTAGGCCAGATGAAAAATAAGTAACAGCAAGTATATAGGATTATCATGAAATTCTATTACATGTTGTAACTTGTCATTGGGCATTTAGAACAGAGAAATGCACAATCCATTTGCTATAGTGAAAAAGCTTTTGTAATTTTTACTTATGTAAATTACCAGAAATATTTTTGCATTCATAGTATTTAAATATTTATTGTTTATGAAGACATTTGGTTACTATTACATTTTGTATGACTATTACTCATGTTTAAGTTATGGGAAATAAAGACTAATTTTTTTTTAAAAATTTATTTTTATTTTTGATTGTGTTTATTGGGGTAACTTTAATTTACAACACTATATGTTTTAGCGGTAAGGGTGGTTCAAGCCTCTCAAGTTACCAGACCATGCCCACCACCAGAGCACTACTACTCGCTGAGTAGTATTTCACTGTATTTATCTTTATCTTCTTTATCCACTCATCTGATGTTGGCACACAGGTTTCCAAACTTAGCTTTTGTAAATAGTGCTGCAATGAACTATGTTCATATATTCCTTTGAATTTGTGTTTCTGTATTCTTTCGGTAGATGCCTTGAAGTGGGATTGCTGGATCATATGGTAGCTCTATTTTCAATGTTTTGAGAAACCTTCACACTAATCCACAGAGGCTGAACTAAGTCTACATTCTTACCAACAGTGCACTAAGTTTCCTTTTCCTTCACATCCTTGCCAACACTTCATGAGAAATAATTTTTAAAAATTGATTTGGCTTGCATATTTTTTGAGATACCTAGACTAGTCAAATTCATAGATATAGAATGCTGGTTGCTGTGGCCTTGGGGTGGGGGTGGAGAATGTGGAGTTATTTTTTAATGGTTAGAGACTTCAGTTTTGAAAGATGAAAAGACTTAGAGGTGAGTTATATAATACTATGATACACTTAAAAACAGTTAAGGTGACAAATTTTAGGCCTGTGTATTTTCCCACAATTAATATTAAAATTTTTACTAAAGATTTGCATACATATTTAAGAATCATAGCATCATGGGTAAGGGTATGGGATTTGTTTAGAATCTGGATCATTTAAATTCCAACTTTAACCGATTAACTGTATGACCTTGGGAAATGTACTTAAGCTTTTGAGTAGGTTTCCTTTTCTTCTCTATAAAATGAAAAGAATAATATCTCTTTTGCAGGACTATTAAATTGATTAAATGAGATAATGTATGAGCTATAGGACAATTCTTCGTTCTTAAAATTGTTATTATTAGAATTGAGAAAAGTCACTTGAATTTATCAAACAGTTCTTTGTTTTTATTTGTCAGTCAGGATATCTTGAGTAATGTAAATAAAGATTAATGGGTAGACTGAGTCCTGTTTGGTAGTGAGAAAGATGTAGTTAGTATTAGGAAAGATACTTCATCACACAAAATACAGGAAAAATGTCTAACCATGGGCCTCATGGAAACTTCTCAGATTGTTGTTGTCTCATTCTCTCCTTGCTCTAACTTACTGTTGCTTCTTTCAGGTAACATTTGTGTAGGGTAAATGGTTTTCAGGCTTTTCTGCCCTCAGACCATTAGGATTGCCCTGCCTGATGGGACACCTGCAGTTGTTACATTGTTACATTGTTTGTATTATTTACGTTTGTGGGCCATAGGAGGAATATTGGGATATTGGCAGAGAGAAGCAGAAGAGGCAGAAGAGAAAAGGAGAGAAAGAAGGCGGAGCAGCCCAGAGTGAAGACTGGCGGTGGGCTTGGCAGCCTACTGGCCTCCTGGCCCCCCAGCACCACTGCCTGCCGTGTACCTGGTTGCTGCACTACATGTAAGAACTCTCCTGCACTGTTGGTGGGAGTGCAAACTGGTCCAACCACTATGGAGAGCTGTGTGGAGATTTCTTGACCTACTAAACATAGAGCTTCCATATGATCTAGCAATTCTACTCCTAGGTATTTACCCAAAGGACACAGAAACATCAATTCCAAAGAGCACCTGCACCCCTATGTTTATAGCAGCACTATTTACAATAGCTAAGCTTTGGAAACAACCCACATGCCCAAAAATAGATGACTGGATCAAGAAGATGTGGTACATATACACCATGGAATATTACTCAGCATTCAAAAAAGATAAACACATGCAATTTGCAGCAACATGGATGGTGCTGGAAGGGATCATGCTCAGCGAAATAAGCCAGAAAAAAAAGAAAAATATCGGATGGTCTCACTCATAACAGGAATCTAGAAAACTTAAATAAGGGACCAGGAAAAAGAATAACTATAAGAAAGAAAATATCAAAATCAACAAACAACTATGAGCAAGAGACACTCTATGGGGGGTGAGGAGGGGAGGGATTGGGGTCAAAATAAGGGGATTGCAATTGTATGGGTGTAGGGTAAAGAAAATATCAGGCTTTTCTGCCCTTCCGCCATCAGGATAGAAGATGGATCCTTGTCCTGAATGCATGCCTGATGGCGGGCACCTGGAATAGGGTGTGGGCATAGGTAGATGGGATTCACCTGGGCTAAGACTGTGCTTTTAAGGGCGGCGTCACGGGGACGCCAGCAGCAGCAGCAGCAGCAGCACCGGTAGCAGCAGTAGAAGCCGAAGCAGAAGCCGAAAGAAAAGCCGAGATCACCAGAGAACCCAGATAGAGTGAAGACTTGCTGGGGGCTGGGAGGCCTGCCAGCCTCCCGGCCCCCCAGGACCCCTGCCTGACATATGCCTGGTGAACCCCAAATAAAAAACCTGCAAAACTACTGAGGACTCTGACTCCTCCTTTACCCAGTCTGCATGGGATCAGAGAACCTGCACTGTGTCCTGTCCTGCCCTTACAATGGGGAATATAAAAATAAAATTTATTTAAAAAAATAAAAAAAAGCAAAATTGTTGACAAACGGAAAAAAAAATATATATATATATATTAAAAAAAAAAAAAAAGCCTGAGAAAGACACTGAAGGCTCCAGGACTCCTCCTTTAAACCTTCTGCCTGGTCAGAAAACCTGCTCTGTGGCATTCCTGGCATTACAACTTGTTAAGCCTCATGATGTTGCCTCATGATGTTAAGCCTCATGATGTTGCCTCATGATGTTGCCTCATGATGTTTGTAAATATTTCATTTGCAAAATTCACGTCAGGGCCTCCCTGGTGGTGCAAGGGGTTAAGAAGCAACCTATGAAGCTAGCTGCAGCCGCTGTAGCACAAGTTCGATCCCAGGCCAGGGAGTTACCCACATGGCACAGCAGACCTCTCCTGACTGGCCTGCTGCTCCCCTCAGCAGTGTATTTCAGTCAATCTACATGTTCTGTTTCTCACTCTGTCTCTGGTGAATCCTCTCACCTCCCCCACACCTCTGGCCTGTACCCCAGTTCTTGTATGCATAAATAAATCTCTAAAAAAAAACCAACAAAAAACAAAATCTACATCATAAGGAGAAAAATATTCATGTACTCTTGGCCCCTCCCTTGTGCCCTATAAAAACCAGAGTAATCTGGTTATGTTGGCCTATTGGGGTTGAGGATGAAAATGCACAGCTAAAGCTACTCATAGAAAAAGTCTTGATCAGCTGTCCAGGAAGAGACAAGAAGAGCAAGAGTAGCTGGGGTTTGCAGAGAGACAGATAAGGGAGATGTGTGGCTCAGTAGCTGCCGTGATGAGTGTGACTTTTACTAAAGGGGATTTCTTTCATTAATTTATATTTACAAAATACATATGAATATACCACTATTGTTAAATATTCAAACAATTCATGCAATTCCATCCTGACTTCTTAGATGATCTACCTCAATCCCAAACTGCAAATAACTTAATCTTCCTTCTGGACGTTTTCCTATATATTAGCAAATTTATATATACAGAAATACCTAGTGTGTTACATAAGTATTATTCCATACATAGCATTCTTATTTTTTTACTTAACAACAGGTCTTGGAGATTTTTCTCTACTAGTACATAAAATCTACTGTATTCCTTAAAATTAAAAAATTAAAATTTCATATGCATTTTATGTAATGTAAAAATGCAATGCATTCCTAACTTCAACAAGATTTCCAAGCTGGACTATAGATATATCAAGAAGAACAATTTACAAGAAAATCTGAGAAAGGAAGAAATGCACAGATGAACTTGATTTATCAAATATCAAATTATTCCTAAGGCTATGGAAATTAAAAACAAATATTATTATAACAATAGAAAAATCATTTTGATAAGTAAGAACGTCCTATCAAATTTCTCTACTGATTTTGCCAGCCAGGTTATATTAACCTTGTAAAGTGAATTGATGAGCTTCCCACCCCTTTCCATGCTCTGTTAAAGCAGGAACTGGATATTTCTTACTGAACAGTTTTGGGATAAAACTTCCCACTGTGTTATCTCTTCAAGGCACTTCCATGAAGAACTGTATTGCACTTTCAAGACTTTTGATGATAGACTTCTCGTTCCTTTTGAGAATACCATGCTGAAGAGGCTAAGAAGTAGCAGGGAGACTCTCAACTTGTCTAAAACTCTCAACTTATACAAATTATGTTCTATTTTGCATTTTATTTTAGCTCCTTGTTCACACTTAGCATTGTGTTCAGCAATGTGTTTGTGGCTTTATATCATGTGCTTGAATATCTTGTCAAGGGAATTTAACTAAATGAAGTCTCAGCAAATTGTGCTGAGAAACCTTATTATTTGACAGAAGCTCTTCAAAGTACATATTCTTAGTATAATATTTATTCAGGAAATAATACTTAAGTTCCTGCCGTGGACTGAACACTATGGGGAGACAAAGTTCAGACTAAAAAGTCTATTCTTGGGCCTTCCTGGTGGCTCAGTGGTTCAGTGCTGGACTGCGAAGCTGCCCACAGCCTCTGCAGCGTCGGTTTGATCCCCCGCTGCAGGCGAGGGTCCCACATTGCGTGCAGACCTCTCCTGCCGCGCCCGCTGCTC